CTAGGACATAAAGTGAACGAGAGGGGGACAAAAAGTTTATGTGAACCTGTAAGAACTTACTGTTATACTGTATGTATGTAATAATATTTTTGTGCGAAGTAGAGTGAATTAGCGATAACAAGAGTAATTTTGATAACAATGACCAAACGAGTTGGTCCACTTCGTCCATAACTTAGAATATACTTATACATAAAATCAATATAATTCAACTGGACTGTACAAGTACAAAAAGAATCAAGAATGTTAAGTATGATGGAGTGTGGGGAAGGATAGTAAGGGAATAATGAAGGTCCTTCTGTCAAATCCTGAAGCAGCAGGCCACTGCCACTGGGATTGTCTCAGTGTAATCCCTGGATTTCCTGGACCTAGGCAGGAGGCCGGATACAAGGGAGAGACAGTTGCACTCATGCCTGATTGAAAGCTTAAAACTTATTGTAAAAAGCAATGTGAAGCTTGTATAACAGCAGAACAATAAGTATCATTATTACCAAATGTGGTGCAGACATTTGTGAGCTCTTGTCAGGGATGAAGATTGGGGAAATAGGAGATATACTCATCCAGATGTGATCAGTGGAAGATCTGCTTACTCGCAATAAGTAGTGATGAATGTATGATGGCATGATGAGGCCATAAGTGTTTTTGGCTCTGAGCTGAGGTCACCCTGTGACAGCATGTATAGTTTAAGGGTCCTGACAGTTCCCATACTCTGCTAAGAAAGTGGTTGTTTCAGTTGTTGATAAACCTGTTGGAGATGCCAGAGGGGCTATCATATGAGCCTGTCCAGAGCTCTTTGATGTGGGCTTGGGTAACTCATCTTAATGTGTTCAAGGTGCTTCACAGGACAAGTGCACACTTCAGGACCAGACAATACCATCCTTTCAACAGGTCATGGGGGATGGTCTGAAGTCAGCACAAAGGTAATGAACTCTTTTAAAGAGTTCCATTGTGGGCTGTGATTTGAATATAACTGCTCTTAAAATGGTGTCCGCCCTCTTCAGGACCAGCTCAGTGAGGAGTGTTCATGAGAGATTGCACCTCTCCTATTCTTGGGCTGCCCTGGATGTTATTTCAACTGCTTACCTCGTTTGCTGCAGTCACCCCAGGGTGCTGTGAACCCAGTCCCCTCTTATAAGCCCAGAGGAGCCCAGGGGAGCCCAGCAGTGCGTGTCCTGGGTGAGGGGTCCAGCTCTTCTCTTTCTCATGAGATGAAACACAAACTGCGCTGAGGGAAAGCACTGGACAGGAACGCACCACTCTCAGACTGTATCAGACCTGATTAAATGACCGTAGATAAGTCTGAAAAAAGACCACCTCACATCACTATATCTGTTTAAAACCTGGTAATGTGGTGGACATGTGAGCTTGTGCTGCTGCATCTACAAGATCAACAACCTGACTTTGAAAGGCTGCCTGTATAGTACTGTTCCTGTTTTGCACAACACAGAGAGAAGGAAGCTTTATAGAGTCTAGAATGTCAGGGGGAAAGAAATGTGAATGGTCCCAACTACAGGAGCTGTTGCACTCTATTTATAAATGACTCAACAGCAGCTAGCACAGGATTAGTGTATGATTTTGTTTTGTCTATTAGTGTGCTGTGGTTAGCGCTCTTGCATCAAAACAAGAAGGGCCTGCGTTCACTCCCTGGACAGGTTGGAGCCTTCTGGGTGGAGTGTGCTCCCTCAAACAGTACACAATAGACAAACTGGTGAACAAAAAAAAGGAGGTCAACACTTGAAGGAGAAGCCGTGTAAAGTGAATCTTTCTCAGATGTGCTGCCTGACGCTGGCAGCTGCAGCAGTCCTTATGCACCTGACTGGTCATAGACAGTACTCACTATGTACCAGGCTTTAAACCGAGCCCATTGACCCATGCTCTCTGTCTGCACTGTAAATGCTGCATTGCCTCAGTCTCGGCATCCTCCTTTTTCCTGGCATTTGTATGACTCTTTCTTTTCATCCTGCCTTTCACTCTAGCTACAGTTGAGTAGGAAAAGCAACTAATGGAGCTGATAATCGTAGCCGACAATGTGGACTATACCAATGTTGTGTTTTTCTTAACCTCTTCTCACTTGTTTTTACTGTCGAATAAAAGCTAATCCATAAGCCCCCCTATTATCCTTTCACATCTTGCCAGAGTGCAGTGCCTGGTCCTTGGAGCTCGGCACTTCCTCTAGTTGTTTTCTCAGCCAGCAGCACTCCAGCCCAAACCATCACTCATGTTGTTAGATTTAGGATTTAAAGTGGTAAAAGTATGAGCTAATATACTCCTCCTTTCCAGCACCTTGTCATCGCCACTTATTCATGACATAATATGACAGCAAGCTAAGATTTGAAGTTTTAATAAGCAGCATACACTTTGGGATACAGGAGCCACACTGTCCAATATTAATGTTCATCACATGTTTATGGTTTGTCACTATTTTTGATACAGACCACTTCACAACACCCCACAAAAGCTGAGGTTTTGGAGATGCTCTGATCCAGTTATTTAGACATCAAAATTGGTCACTCAATTTGAACTTTTATTGCCAGTTAACAATGTCTGCTTCATGCCATACGTCCATCCAATATTAGATGCCATAATTAAAAAGTCATGATCTGTGTTATTTTGTCATATTTTTTGCTTTGTCTGAAATCCTCATATGATTTGGATCAAACAGCACAATAAATGCAAATTCACAATAAAACATCAAATCTTCTGTTTTTCTCTTCATGTTTCTCCCACTCTGGCTGTACTCTTTGTGTTTTTCTTCCAGCACTCTGTAATGAATTTTTGGATGGCAGGTTCCAAAACCAAAAGCTGCAGCCTCGGTTTTGTTCTCCTCAGAGCTTTTATTTGATTACAAGAGTTTCTCACGCATGCCTAAGACCCAAAGGCTTTAGTCTTGTGTATGATGTGGACAGTAAAAAAGAGCTAGTCAATTTGAGAGGGCCACTTGAGTATGAGAACACTGCTGCCAGTCACACAGCAGATTTACATAGCCCTGTATGCACTCACTGTTTGCGTTTTAACCAGCCCTCTGTGCAGTGATTGACGCCCTGTCTCATTCAAACAAGGGAAACTTCAGGAGCCATGGTAACAGCTGCAGAGATGTGCTTCACCACGGAGACAGACAATATTGAAAAAGCCCAAACTCCATAACAACAGTTCTGAAGCTAAAACAGCAGCATCCTGACAGGTGCATGTTTGTTGGCTTCAACTAATGATTTCATTTTTTGGCCACTTTGTCTACAGTGTATACAAACTTGTATTATATGTGTTTTTCACTTATTATTTGTTAATACAGTTTTCTATATAGAAAGATGAAATATGCATGTTTTGTAAACTATGTCATCATCTTTTTGTGTTTTTCAAAATAATACAGGATACAATTTGTGTGTGTGTGTGTGACATTTTTCTGCTAAGTGTAGCTTTGACACACAGGCAAACGTGTTCTTTTAGGGATCACCACAAGAGTTAATCATTTTCATTATTATTGGTTCGTTTTTATGCCAGGTGCCCTTCTGAACAAAACATTTTTTGGATCCTGCACATTTTTGGCTTGTGTTATTGGCACAAACAAGTACAAATTAAATGGTTACACATTGTTGTGTTCTTGGTTTATTGTTGTTCAAAAATTGAACAAAAATCCAATTAAATGCTAAAAACAGTAATTTTATTGAAAACAATTCATAAATGTGGAACAATCCAGCAACACTTAAGTGTTTTTTTACATAATGAGATGAGGACAAACAGCAGCTCTCTCACTGACCTCACAGAGAGAGTCATGTGCTCTAGCTTAGAGTCTGTGTGATTACTGCAGAGGTTACCTGGAGTTGAAACATTCAATACCCAGTGTATGGACGTTTATGATGGTGAAAGCAAAACTTAAATTGCATGAATTACGAGTGTGACTTTTGACTTGGGGCTAGGTCAGTAGTTGGTTCAGCTGTACGGGTCTTAAGTCTCCACAAATCAACCCTGAACTGAGCACTGGTTCTGACCCCAGTGCAGCACCTTCTGAAAATAATTGGGGCTTTAAAAAGTGTTCCGGATGACAGTCTAATCAAGTCAATACATAACCGAGTGAGATCTACAGTGCACTACAATGGGCTGGTCTGAGGTGCCGTGGGATAGCAGAAACTTGAACCTCTCTTGTATAGGACGTCCTGGACAGCTGTGGGGTGTGGGGCTGGTGGCTGCACACTATAAATCTAGTCTAAAGAGGGTTTACTTTTGATTTTAATGGGTGCTGTAAATTTATGGCACGACAAAGTAGTTTTTTCTTTGTCTACATTTCTAGACTCATTCTTTGTTCCAATCATGATGGTTTGCAGCAACTTTTGTGTAGTCTTTTGTGGTTTGGCATTTACCTGTCTGTCTGGAAAAAGTGTGAAAATATCTTCAAATGTTTAAAAATACCTTGGATTTCACACAGTCAGCATGTAGTGTTTTAACTGTGTAATAAAGTCACACATGTATTTTTAAAGAGGAACATTGGCTCAGCCCAGATTCTTCTGGAGCACGGCGAAAAGGAAAGTTTTATGTACATATGTTGGAGAGGTACACCACAGGGTTTAGGGATGTATATGTCAGTATGTCATGATTCTGCTTTGCGTGTACCGTTATTAGAGACTGTAGTGTAACAGCAAAGAGGCAATAAAAGATTTCAAACGACTGTCTACACAAATCAAAATATGGTGTTGTTTTGAGTAATTACTTGGTTATCATTCTCTTCTGTTAGATATGGCTTAACATTACGTCTAAAGCTGAAAAGATAGTTCAATCAACTAATTATTATAGTTGAAGAAATTTTTACTTTTTTCAGGCTTTTTGTTCTCTCATCTTCATTTGCCAAAAACCAAACCAAACAATGAATGACACCCTCAATCACCCACACATTTACTGACTTTACACCTGGCTTATTATAAAAATATCCACTTCCTTGTAGATAAAGTCAAGTGATTTTCCAAAGTGTTCTAGCAAAAAAGTACATTCTAACCATGCTGCTTTTGTTGCAGGTGCTGTTTGCTCTGAACCAGACTCTGCTGCAGCATGAGGGTGTCCGAGCAGGCAGTCTGCAGGGCTCCTACACCACTGAGGACCTCATTACCCACTACAACTGTGGAGACCTCAGCTCTATCATCTTCAACCATGACACATCACAGGTACACATTACAAGCAGCAGTACCGGAGAACTGTAGGCAATATCACTTTTTTGTATATATATTTGAATAAAGTTCATAAAGTAAACCATTGTCCTTGATTGCATGTGCATATCTCCAAACTCAGCTTTTAACATATTTGCTAGCTATTAAAACCTTATAAATGTAACTTTAATGCAGAGTTGGAAAATAAAATAGTTTTACAGTCCCAATGATGACCTGTCAGACCTCTTTCAGCTCCTCTGCCATTTCTCCTTCATCACTTGTGTCTGGAGCTGCTCCTCAGCTGCAGTACATCTCAGTCTTAATCCTCTGAGCACCAGTCACTTGATAGTGTCAGACACTACCCAGCAGCTTCACCATAAATAACTCACCCGACCTGCCACGATCTATCTCTCCAAACACAGACATCTTTTTGCAAGCTGCCATCTGATTTTACTCAGTGTGGTTTAGTTATATTCAAGGTTTTTGACAAGGTTTTCTGACATTATTCCCAAAGCAGTTTCTTGACAATTTGAGACAGATTTTGATTCAGTATAATAGGTCATAAGAGTATAAGCGTATTTTGTGACTTGACAATGCATTTTGACAAAGGTGCAGCGATTCAAAACTAAATACTAAATACTAAATGGTAAAGCTTTAAGTAAGTAGCCGAAACCTGATATCAATCGATACCAGTGCAGAGCCTGAGAACAGTATTTATTTACTTTAAACCACAAATAAACTTAGGCAAAACAGATCTAAATGTGTTATGTAGCTGGTATTTATCTCTCAAGTAACTACAGAACAGCTATGTGTAAATAATATTGTGAGACTTTCTGGATCCACTATGACCAGTAAATCTTATTATGTCATTGTATATGTCCAACCAGGATATCGAATTAACTGATATTTGGAAGAACACAAATCTTTTGGTATCGGTGCCAAATTTTGTCTTTAACATTACAATGTATCAGCCAACAAGAAACTGTAGTTTTTGCGCTCGCTTTCAATGGAACGCAATAACAACTCTAAACAAACTTGTAATAGTAAATTATATAGTACAACATTATGAAATCTTTGCTGGAAATGTTCCTTCCACATTTCACCTGCCCCAGTGGCTCCAGTCTTGTCCTGCATGTGAGTGCATTAAATCATTCTAATTTATCCCGCCCCCTCTCACTCCTGCCTCACTCCTGTCATAATAACACGTATTAACATTCCTCTGCACATGCTAGAGCAATCAGGAGCCTGCTTCAGCATATGTGATCTATAGTATGTGCGTGAATGAACAGTACAATAGACAAAGTGGAAAAAAGCAGTAAATGAATAAAGATTAAGGGGACACAGAATCTAAAACATAGTAGACAGGTCCATGTGTCAACTGTTATATGAGAAAGTAAAAAGAAAATTTTCCCAAAATAAGTTTGTTTTTTGTGGAAGTAGTCATCCATCTAAGGGGTCATGACCCATTTCGAAGCTCATACTGTAAGACGAAAAGCAAGCATCAATAAGGAACTCTCATCATTGCCAAATTATTATACAACTCACCGGTACATGACAACAAGAAGATGCAAAGGTGTAAAGCAAAACTAAACCATTCACATAAAATTGCCAAGTAAAACCATCTGTAGAAGTTGTCCGAGTTGTGACACATTCACGTTACTGTTTTCCAAATTAGTAATAGACATGTAATAAAATAATCTGTAAAGCATTCATTTCAACAATAGTGAGAAGAGTCTTATGGAATGTGTGTATACTAGAGTAGATAAGATGTGAAGTATAAAGTGTTACAAAGACAGATATGAGAAGTGTCTGTGGAGAGGAGGAGGGCCTATCATTGTCACTGCACATTTCCTGCTCTGGCTCGGACACAGAGGGACTAGTGGTCCTCTCTGTGATACCTTATCTGCACTACTCTCCCTCTATGACCCCACATTCACCAAACACCTTTCACTTAATCATGGACACATCATCTTTCTTCACTCAACGCAGCAGCAATCAATCTATTTTGCCAACATCTCATTTGTGCAATATATTAATTATTTACATCATCTTAATTAAGTATAATTTCTTTAATTATTGTGTTACTCAGGTAGGATATGAGCCAACAGTGAGTTATTACTTATGTGAGAATAACAATTTGGGAAAATGCAGAGTTTAGAACATCTGAAGCCAAACAACCAATGCCCATATTTGGGTATTTTCCAAGATTAGTCCACAGATATTAGGAAAAAAATAAATAAATTTATCTGCATTTAATGCGGAAGGAAAACAAATGTAGGCATGGAGAGAATTAACCAAATCTTTTACCCAGAGTACAGTTACTCAGTTATTGTAACAGTAAAAAGCAAATCAAATAAAGCAAATAATGTAACTGAGTAAAGTGGCAAAACTAATGGTTCATTCTTTCTCCAGAAAAGGTTCACACTAAGAAAATCTACGCTCTATTTGCTTTTGCATATTTGAGCCTCTTATAATGTCCCTGGTTACAAACAGAAGCAATATCCATGTAAAAACTCATAATGACCGTGACTGTGAGTGTTACAAATACAAATGGTGTTTTAATGCATTTTAGAACAATTTCCATCTAGACTTATTTATAAAAAGACACAGCACTGAGTGGACACAGCAACACTAAGCACAAAATAAAACTGTATAAATAGAAGTCGAGTTATATGTAAGTCTGAGACGTCCGAGGTTGCTGCTGTAGTGTTTTCCTTACAGATTATCAGCATGTAGAATGCACTGCTGCAGCCAAAAGATCACCTACTCACCACTCACTGTCAATAAATCACACACCCAATTATATCTTTCAAACAGGCTCTGAGTGGATCTGCCTTGCATGACGATGAGTATGACAGATGTAATAGCAACCCAATATTTAAGGTTAATGACTTCACCTGTCATTATGTTATTTCTGATTCAGACTACTTGGCTTCTCAGAACCACAGTAATGGAGATAGACCTTGAAGTCTACAGTGTAAAAAGGACACAATATACCAAATACAGATTTAACCTAACAGTATTTGACTAGCTATACATTTTCATCTATCAGGGGGTAGCAATAATACAATGGTTCGCTAACTGCAAACCATAGGGTTGGTGGATCCAGTTCTGCTTTACTACTTTTGTCCCCACATTGCCTTTACCAGCCACAGCATAACATAACACAGCATAACAAAAACACAAATGATTGCCTGAGGCAAACCCAATTAATGAAGACAGAGTTAAAGTATTTTTAAAATGTAACAGTTTAATACATACTTTTGCCTCTTTGTTTCTCAGCTGCCTCACTTCATCAACAGTTCTCTACCAGCTCACGAGCGCCTGACAGCTCAGCAGATCGACAGTTACTTTCGCCAAGAACTCATCTACAAACGAAATGAGAGAATGGCCCGCAGAGTGTCCGCTCTGCTGCAGAGGAACCCCAACCAGACCTACTTCTTTGCCTTTGGAGCAGGTCAGTCTGCTCTTATATAAGGGTTTGAATTTCTCCTCTCATCTTTGGCCATATGTGGTACTTTGTCCATGGTATAACATTTATCACTAAATGTAATATGTTGCTCACTACAACATAATGTGATGGTTACATATGGCATTGTGATCATTCTCAATTCCCATGTCCATAAACAGGAATCTTAATGTGAGCATGCCCATTGGCAGTGAGCCTCCGTCGGCCTGTATCATTCAGTGAAATCTTTCCAATTACACTGATGGGACTTGAGTGTGTGTTTGCCTTTATTTGAGCTGTAAATGCAAGATCATGTTTGCTTTGGTCCGAAACAGTGACTCTGTCAGCGCTAATGTGCAATAATTTCCTTTTCAGACTGTCTTTTTAAGGTGAGGCTTGAGGAAAACCAGGAGAAGAATAATAGTATACAATGATTCCCAGATATTTGGCATATGACTTGTGTGTGTCCATGCATACACACAGGAGTCTCAGTAACCCACAGCTCCCACGTCTAAATGAAGAAACCATGAGCTGTTTGTTTCAATTAGCATTCCAGGCTAATGTTTCCTGAATAGTGCGGTGTGTCCGGGCGGGGGAGTCGTGTGTTATAAAGCAGGTGGTGGGAGGGTGACGGGGGCTTGTTTACTGTACCACTGTGTGTCTGTGTTTATGTATTTGGGTGAAGCTGGGTGGTGCTGCCTCTTGGGGAGCGAGGGAGTGTGCAGCAGTTTATGATTAGTGAGTTAAAGGCCTGGTTTCCTTCCTCTGAGAAGTGTGTGCTTCATAATGGTCACTGTAGCAGCTGTGTGTGAGCAGGTCTGCGTCTGCTCTGACTTATGACCTCATCTAAATATGAACATAAAAAGTTCACTATCATGCTATCATTAATTTACTAGATTGCAAAGCCTTATTTCAAAATGATCAAACCCAGTCTGGACAGGCAAGACTGCTTTTCCTATGCCCAAACTTTTCTTTTCTCAGTAGACCAAAATGAAAGCATTTCGATACATGTTTTTCACAAAAAAAGTTTGTCTGCAACTATATTTATAGTCTTATTTAAATTATTGTGCTTGTTAGGGAATAGACTGTTATGGGCTAAGTCTGCTGGGCCCACGCTACCTTGGCCTGCACTGCACGTCTAAACTCAGGTCAGGATCCTAGACTAAATTAACTCTCTATAACTGTGGTAAAATTACCATAAAATTATCATGTTATAGCCCAGAATTTTTTTTCTTTACCAAACCAAAATAATAATAATAATTTAAAAAGACACATTAACTCATAACAACAATATGGAAAGTTAAGGTACACTTTATCTCCTGGGACACTTGTTCTTTCAAACAGAGCAGCGTGGGAGAACTTATCAGCAACCTTCTCCAGATCTTGTACAAGGATCATGGTCAGGAACATGTGCATGGTTTTAATGTCTCTAAATGTATGGTCAAATGATTTTTTTATTAGAACACAGACATGTGATTGTTCTCAGCAGTCTGGTGGTGTAGCATGAGTAGTCTTGTTCTTTGCATGGGCAGGAGCGCTGGAAACAAAGTGCATCTCAATGGAGAAACTCTGTGAGGATAAATACAGTTTATGTCTGACTCCGGCTCTGTCAGCTCACATTAAACAGACATACACGCCATTCACTCAGACTTTGTAGAGATCGTAAAAGAAGATAACGTATTACACATAAAACTGGCAACACCTGAAACGGACCCTGTCTTGTAAACCCACATTCTGCATTGATACGTTTAAGTGGGCCTGGAAAATGTCAGAGCTAAAGGAGAGGTCCAGGTTAAGGTTGAGGTTTATTAGAATGGCCTGATTTTATATCAAGTGTGTTACCTCTGTTAGGAGCAGAGTGAGGCAGCTGTGTGCAGGCCGACAGGTCCCATACAAAATCCAGAGTACAGTGTGTGTGGGGCAGGTATTCATCACATTGGGGGGACTAAAATGTCTATACACACTCACATCACGCACTCGTTAATGGGATAAAAATCAGGTCGCCATGATGTTAATCTTTTATTAGATCAACAACATGCTGAAACCATGTTTCATTTATGGGTTAAAATAGGCTAAATTTAGAGTTTAGATTAAGGATAAGCAAGTAGTGACTATGACTGTTAGGATCTCCAGGAAATGAAAATAAGTCAATGTAATGTCCCCAAAAAACATGGGAACCCAATATGTGTGAGTGTGAGTGAGAGAGAGAGACTGACAGAGTGTGACGTGATAGAAACCATTACCGTCAGAAACAGTCAGAGGTTAGGACTTGCTCATATACAGTAGACTGCTAAATGTTCACTGCTAGGATCATCTGTGCTTACAGGGATAGAAGGTTGAGTTTCACTTTTTCCTTCTAGGGACGCCATCTTGAGGACATTTGGCCATTCAAAAAAATTAATATTTCCTTTTGAATTGTTTATTTCTATGACGTATAGGTCCTATATTTATATTGCTTAAAATGGATTTTGTAATGTGTGCACCAAAATAAACTTTTAATAACCTGCCAGTTTTTGATATGGATATTTATAAAAGAGGTGTAAATTGGTTCTACTTGTTGCATTCATAATTTGCTATTTAAGACATCAGACCTGTGCAATCCATATCCTGAGGTTCACTGCTATTGTGGCATGAATAAAGGAGGGTGAAGAGGGGGAGTACTAGCCAGGCTGGCGCCACCTAGTGCCTCCACCCAATTTCATTTCTGTCCAGTGACTAGGTTAGGAATCAAAAGACACTAGATGGTTTGCAAGAACCCCGGAAGTTGTAGACTGCACACCGGCCAATGAGCAAAGAGCTGTGAAGCCATGACATCAAACTCAAGCGCCTGTCTGGGTCCCTTTTTGTGGTACAGCACAACAGTAAACAAAGTGATCGAGATGGATGTAGACAAAGCCATACATTCTGTGTTGGCAAGGATTCCCGAGATTGAGGATTTAAAGCCAGAACAAAGAGAATGTTTGGTGAATTTTTTCAAAGGGAAAGACGTTATTGCCCTTCTTCCTATGGATTTGGGAAAAGCTTAGTATACCCGTTAGCCCCGTTTGCGGTGGATTACATACATCTCGACCAAATAGCAGTGATTGGAAAAAAGTACAAAAAGTACCCGCCTACTGTCAAGCGAATCCTAACGCTGCGACAACAGATGGTTTCCACGAAGTGAAACTGGTTGATGAATCAGCTGAGGGGAGTACAGGACCTGGTGAAGGACTTGAAAGTCTGGTGTCAGTGGAACAACCCCCGTCCCCACGCTCCATCACCATTATTGGATGAGGAGAGGTGAAGGTGGTACCCTGGGGCTTCAGTTGGACAATAAATTTAAATGGTTTCAAAACATAGACACTATCTACACAAAGGAGAGAGTAAGGTGCATTTTCAGCAGAGATTATCCTCCTTTAAGGTCTGCTCCAAGAGGCTGATGTATTTTTTTTGTCTAGTCTAGTCCACTCACTGACCTGCTCCACAGACATACTGAAGACTGAGGAAATCTTTTGGCATATTTTATTGTGCAGTCCCAATACATGCACAAAAACATGCACAAAACATGCACAAAAACATGCACAAAACATGCACAAAAATGATTAATCTTTCAGTTTATGTCTAAATACTAAAGTAATAAAAATAATTTAACTTTGCATTTTGTGGATGCTTTTAGGGTATAAAAGCTACAGTCAACAGCTACATAATAATCTGGGGACAGCCTTATATGTGATTGTTTAAAGCTTCTTGCAAATCCCAAATAACATCTGGATTCAGTTGATGACAGATACTTATTACTGTATGTAATCATGGGATTCTTCCAAACAAGTAAATAGCATATTTTCCACACAGCATCACATGTCTGCATATTTCTTCATGCTTGATTGACATACAGTTACATGCACTCACAATTAACAGCATGCCAACATCAGGGAATGAGGACTTGATATGTACATAAGAGGGAGTGCCAATTCAGACCATATGCTTAGATTTGTGTATAATGAACATACTTTGCCTGTACCTGAAGCTTGTTAACCTCTGGGGTCATGTGAGGAGAACTATAATGAAAACCATGATTGCAGTTGATATTAACAGTAGATATTTCCATGAGTTGACCAGAAATCAAACTAAGGATAAAATAAATGCTATAAAAAGTGCAAAAAGAATTCCTGATATGTTTTTGTTTTGACTACAATGGATTTCTGTTTCACCTTTTTTCTCAAAGTACAACTCTTCTGCCAATGACTTGTGTGAAATTGCAGAAATACATTAACCAAGTTAATAATGTAATGGACATCAAGGAAGTAAGAATATTTCACAGTAAATGGAGTCTAGGGACCTATAGAAGAGTAACTTCTATGTGTGTTCACATAAAATTCAGTCTTTATGGTTTGTTCTCAGATTCATATGTTTAATAGCAGATAGTGGCTTCTTTCTCTGGTAGTGTTATTAAACTCAATGTTCATGACATAGGAATGCTGAAGTTTAAAATGTTCATGCAAAAAGTCAGGAGTCTGACTGGTTCACATTTTGTCTTTGGCAGTAACTGTGTTTGGCTGCATTCAGAATATTTACATTAATGGTTTGGGGTTTTTTTTCACTCCAAATTAGAATTATATTCAATGTCAAGACGTTAATGGTAGCTTTGGGAAGAGCTGTTTTTGGTAAATTTCTAAGGTTTCACGTGAAGTATTGCATTCAATAAATAAACAGACCTGTAATAAAATTATCTGACATATAGATTTTCAGCTTTAGCTCATTGTTTACTGTGTGTGTATCTGATACTAGGATGTACACACAGAGTAGGAACGGCCTCTCTGTGAGAAACTCATCATGATTGAATTTTTTATTCAATTAATACTTGGAATCATTTTGAGATTTGAGGCACAAAGTCCACATTTCTTCTGGGTCTTTTTTCCATTAACCTTTTTCTTTATGCATTTGAAAGTGTGTCTTGGGATGGTACATTAGCATAAAGGTAGTTTGTTTAATAAATCTCTCTTAGTACAACACAATGGCCATAGCTGTTT